CAAATGGTAGTGGCCCTTTCTTGTGTGAAATGATGAACCTTGGAATGTTAGACCTAATGGTGGTGGCCCTTCTAGGAAGATCAATGAGCTATCCTTAAATGTACCTTGAATTGGTAGACCTAATGGTGGTGGCCCTTCATGTGTAATTTGCTTTGGGTCGGTAGGCCTAATGTTGGTAGCCCTCTCAAGTACAATAATGTTGATAAAAATAAAATACTCTATGGGAATGGAGGCTAAGCAATGAGAAGGATATGGTTAGATGGAGGTTCTCCCTATGTTAGGCTAGATTTCAATGAACATCTTTCATATCCCATAACTATGTGCCCACATAGGATATTAGCTAGTGGATTCCATCCAAGCGAAAATGTTACTACTTCTACCTTAGGCAAGTAGACCACCTTTTTACAGTGTGGGGTCATACGACACCGGATTCCATGATTTAGCTCTCATGGTCTATATCGGTTAATGCATATTCCCATTATGTCAGATGTGCATTGTGGCTTCTTGATGAGTTCTATGAAGTGTGGGTGGTAGTATGGGATGTCATCTATGCATTACACAAGTAGTCTTTGTGATGGTCGTAGTGAGTTCTCTAAGTCTTAATGACTAATGTATGAAAGTCCTCTAAATGAAGTTATTGAAGAATGTGACTCTTAAACGCTTATTGTGACGATACATGCTATACTTGGGTTATATTATGAGTTATTTTCCCATGTCATGTCTTATTAAATGTTATGTCTCTTACGTGTGGATATTGTGCAAAGGTGAAAAGGAAGGAATGGTAAGTTCACTTTTCGTGACCTTAATGTGGTGCCTTAGTGTGGATGGTGGTATGGGACGCTATCCTTACATTGCACAAGGTATAGCATGAGGGTTACTTGAGGTGAAGTAATGGCTTACATGTTGATATTGTTCAAATGTGATATTATGACTTGTATGATGATTACACTTGTATTTGATGTCTCTTATGCTATTGTTCATGATATTTCTAAAAAGTGGCATAATACATGGTTTCCAACCAAAATTTCCCTTCTAAAGCATGTTTTTGCATGGTCATCATACTTTATATATTTTTTGTGTTCTAACCCATATTTCTCTTATTTTACTACAATCGTAGGTTCTGGCAAGTGATTGCTTCTATCTAGATTGAAGTGCTTGGATTGAGATTTCCTCCAAGGCTAAAGTGGTACGTCCTCATAGATCGAGGACAAGTGTCTTTTTAGAAGTTTCTTTCTTTCCATGTAATAGACATTTCTAGTTTTTTCAATTGTAAAGGGTCGTGTCCCTACTTTAGTTTTCAAGACTTTGTTTAGATAGCCATGTGAGACTTTTAAACTTCTGTTGTATTTTCAAGTGTTTTTAAATGAAGCTTTTGATAGTTTGGTTTTAAATGAGTTTTAAATTTTGCACTATTTCTATGTCAAATGTAATGAAAGGCTATGAGGCTTGTATTATACCCCTTCGGGGTCCAGTACGTTGTGTCGCATCTAGGGGCTAGCCTTAGGTCGTGACAGTTCCCTTGTCTATATGAAGTAAGCTAAAGAGTGAGACTAAAGGAGGGTAAGTATGACTATGTTGACTTCAAGGTTTTACTTAGTGTGAATGGTATTGTGGGGTGCCTTTCATTCATTGCACAAGTGTGCCTTGGGGTTACTTAGGAGTATAGTGCTCTCATGACATGAAAACCTAGGTCTTGACTATGAATGTGGACTATGCCCAAGAATGACCAAGAAGAGGTACTTAGTTTGGATAGTATTATGGGACGCTATTCTTGCCTTGCACAAGTATGCTTTGAGGTGGCTTGTGAAGTAGTTCTCTTGTGATATGAAAGACAAAAGGTTGAAGTATGTAAATATGAAAGTCTAAGTAAGGACTATACTATGAACATGATGTATCTCCTATGCTCATTTATTATGTCTTATGTTGACTTATGATTATATGATGCTTATGTTGGAGATTATACTATGACTATGTTATTGTCTCTTATGTTTATGTCTTATGTTGACTAACCATTTTGAGATGTTTTTATGATGTTGTGCTAGCTATCATACTTGGTACATTTTGTACTAACTCATATTGCCTACATTTCAATCAAATGTAGGGTATTGGAGATTGAGTTCCTTTGAAGGCTAGGTTTATAAAGAGCAAGAAGAGTTGAAGATTTTGGTGAGTCCTCATAGCTTCAAGGACAAACCCATTATTCCTTTATGTCGTTTATTTATGTTTTATTCAAGAGTTTAATAAATGGTTTGAGACAAAGTTATAGTAAAGACTTTCGCTTGCCTATGAAAATATTTTCGATTGTAAAATTTAAAGAAGTCTTAAATTTTCCATACTTTTCTATTAACTTATGTTATGATTATGATAAGGGCTTGTATGAGACCCCTTCGGGGTCAAGTACGCCATGTTACACCTAGGGTATACCCTTGGGTTGTGACAATCTCTATGTCAAACTCTTGCAGCAACATAATCCACCTAATCAGCCGTGGCTTTGCATCCTTCATATAGAACAGGTAACTAATAGCTAAATGATTAGTATAAACAACAACTTTAGTCCCTACCAGGTAAGATCTAAACTTGTCAAAAGCATAGACCAAGGCTAGCATTTCTTTCTCTGACACTGTGTAGTTGGCTTGAGCTGCATCCAATGTTTTGCTTGCATAATAGATTGAATGAAACACCTTCTCTTTCCTTTGCCCTAACACTGCCCCTATAGCCACATCACTTGTGTCACATATTAGCTAAAAAAGAAAGCTCCCAATTTGGGGAAGTAAGGATTGGAGCTTCTATCAACTTTTTCTTCAAAGCCTCAAAAGATCGAATGCAGTGCTCATCAAACACAAATTTCATCTCCTTCTCTAAGAGACTGCATACAGGTCTTGCAGTCTTAGAGAAATCCTTAATGAATCTCATGTAAAACCCAGCATGACCCAAAAATCTTCTCACCCTTTAACAGATACTGAGGGGGTAGCTTTTCAATTACCTCCATTTTTGCCCGATCAACTTCCAGTCCTTTCTTTGACACCTTATAGCCCAACACAATCCCCTTCTTCACTCTAAAATGACATTTTTCCCAGTTTAGGACGAGATTAGTTTCTTCACATCTAGCCAATACCTTGTCCAAATTTTCTAGACACCTTTCAAAAGACTCCCCAAAGACTGAGAAGTCATCCATGAATATTTCCATAAAATCTTTGATCATATCATGAAAAATGGCCATCATGCATCTTTGGAATGTGGTTGGAGCATTGCATAGCCCAAAATGCATTCGTTTGAAGGCGTATGTCCCGTACGGACAAGTGAATGTGGTTTGCTCCTGGTCCTCTAGCGCATTCACGATTTGATTATATCCTGAATAGCCATCCAGGAAACAATAATATCCTTGCCCAGCTAACCTATCCAGCATTTGATCAATGAAAGGAATGGGGTAGTGGTCCTTTTTGGTGGCCTCATTCCATTTTCTCTAATCCATGCATATGTGCCACCCTGTCACTTTCCTGGTTGGAATCATCTCATTCTTTTCATTGGTGATCACTGTCATGCCTCCTTTTTTAGGCACACACTGAACCGGGCTGACCCACTTGTTGTCTGAAATCGGATATACAATACCTACATCTAACCATTTAATAACCTCCTTACGCACCACATCTTTCATTGCTGGAATTAATCTATGTTGGGGTTGTACACTTGACTTGTGGCCCTCCTCCACGAATATCTTGTGCATGCATAGAGCTGGGATGATGCCATGTATGTCAACCATCTGACAGCCTATTGCCTTTTTTCTCTTCCTCAATATTTTCAGAGAGGCCTCAACCTGCATTTCAGACAAAGCAAAAGAAAGGATTACATGTAATGTTTCATTAGTACCTAAGAATGCATACCTGAGATGAGATGGGAGAGCTTTCAGCTCCAACTTTGATGCTTCCTCAATTGATGGCTTGGGAAGGGGTACTAAAACTCTATTTAATAGCTCCATAAACTTGCAAAGAATGCTCACATTTGGAACATCTAGAATACTAGCAAGCTCCTGGGCTTCAGCGTCCCCCTCAATATCCTACCCAATTAACACTTTCTCTAAAAGGTCTCGGGCTTCAACATATTTAGCTATTGTTTCCTCATCAATGACTGTAATTGCTGACAACTCCTCATATATTGCAGGCAACTTCATTGCCTTGTATAGTTCAAAGACATCTACCTTGTCATGAGCTCTCATTGTCAGCCTACCAGCCGCCACATAAATTAATGCACCACCGATTGCTAAGAATGGATGTCCCAACATAAATGGGACCACTGGGCCAGGCTCAAAATCCAAGATGACAAAGTCTTTGGGAATAATCAGAGTTCCGACTTGGACTAAAACATACCTCAATAACACCATTTGGTCTTGCTACCGAGCGGTCATCTAATTGCAACATTATGGTTGTAACTTTGGGCCTTCCCAGCCCCAGCTTAAGAAATATGGACGCAGGCATCAAGTTGATACTTGCGCCCAAATCACACAACCCCATTGCTTCGATGCACTTGCCAATTTTTATTTGCACAGTAAAACTCCCTGGATCTTTCAACTTAGTTGGGAACTTATTCTGGATCCTAGAACTGCACTCCTCAGTGAGTGCCACTGTTGCATACTCCACCAATCTGCTCTTGTTAGCCACAATATCTTTCACATATTTGGCATACTTAGGAATGCCCTGCAACAAATCAATCAAAGGAAAGTTAACATATACCTGTTTAAGGAGTTCGATAAACTTACCAAAACATTCCTCGTCCTTCTATTTTTTGAATTTCTGTGGAAATGGAGGAGGTGGCTTTGCTTTTGGTTCCTCATCCACCCTTGGCTCACCTGGTCCAGCTTCATCCACCTGCTTTTCTTTTTCTTCAGCAAATTTTATTTTTGGAATTAACTCCTCTAATGGACGACCACTACGTGTACTCACATCATTTACCTATTTTGGGTTTGGATCAGTATTTCCAGGCAAACCCCCTTATGGTCGAGAATTTTAGGCACTAGCAAACTGCCCGAACTGCTTCTCCAAATTCTTGGTAGCTAGTTGGTTGTTTCGGACATCTGCTGCCAACTTAGCTTGGTCAGTCATGATTTGTTTTAGCATGTCCTCCACACTCATATCACCCTGCTTAACAGCCTGCTGATTTTCATGACCCTATTGATTCCCATGGCCCTGCTGATTGTAATGTTGTCCACCACCTTGCGACATGTACTGGTTTTGTCCGTGGTGTTGATTCTGATTACCACCCCATGAAAAGTTTGGGTGGTTCCGCCAGCTCGGATTATAGGTGTTGCCGTAATTTTGGTGCATTCCTCTTCGCTGGGCAATACCTACAAAATTAACAAATTCTAGATTTGCTCCATATACATCAGCAGTGTGACCTCCACCTCAACATACTTCACACCATACTAGTGGCTGCTGCACCATATTAACTTGAGCTTGTTGTTGTCCTAGTGACATGTTGCTAAAGTGTGTAGTCATCATATTTTGCATTGCTGCAATTTGTGCAGTTAAGGTTGTCACTGCATCCACTTCCAACACTCTCGCAGTCTTTTGTATGACCGTTTTAGGTCCTCCTCCATTCCATTCAGGATTACATTGTGAGATTCTATTAAGGAATGTAAATAGCTCAGCATATGTCTTCTCCAAAGCTTGTCCACCTACAGCAGAATCAAGTAAAGTTTTTGTGTTTGGTTCTAATCCTTTAATGAAGATGTGGACCAACACTTTGTTAACTTGATGATGATGTGGACAACTCAGCAACATGGATTTAAACCTCTCCCAAGCTTGGTATAAGTTTTCTCCTCCTTTCTGTCGGAAGCTTAATATATCGCTTCTCAGTTTGGCTGTTTTCCTGGATAGCAAAAACCTTATCAAGAACTTCCGTGCAAGATCATCCCAAGATGTTATGGAGTTTGCAGGCTCAGAGTTCAACCATATTTTTGCTTCCCCTAGCGAAGAAAAGGGGAATAGGATGAGCCTCACATAATCGGAGTTCACTCCAGTTGGAGTGTAAGTGTCACTGATCTCGAGGAGATTCTGAATGTGCACTTGTGGGTCCTCATAAGATAGACTAGTGAACTGTCCATTTGTGTGCAATAGTAGCACCATGCTCTACTTCAATTCAAATTTCCCACCAGCTGCAGGTTTCTGAATACAAGAAGTAACATTGGTGGTGCGTGGGATTGCCACGTCTCTCACTTTCATTTCTGCCATCACTGCAGGTGTGTCTTGATCCTCCCTTTCTTCTGGGGTTACTAGTTCACTAGCGATAAGAGGGACACGGTATGTGAGTCTTCTATGCTTTATCCGATAACGAACAAATCTCTCCGATTCAGCTAGAAGCTCTACCAAGTCCTGGTCGTCTTCCGGTGTAAAATCTTGACATAACCTGTAAAATGAATAGCCAAGATCAAGTTGTCAATACTTGTACAAATAATCTAGAAACTCAAAATTTAAATATTTGCCGATTTTAAAGTCCCCGACAGCGGCGACAAAAACTTATTGCATCCAAATCGCACACGCAAGTTTACGCGGTCACTCAAGTAGTACAGTGACTCTTTCAAGCCAGATTATCGAACCCAAAGGACATCAAATCAACAAGCACTAACTTTATTATAACTAAAATCACTTTACTTATGTGACAGATGATTTCAGGAATTTGTTTGTATTAACTAAATTGAATAGTTTCAAATATTAACTTCTAACACTTAAATCAGTTACAAAAGAAGGTTTCACAATTTTAGGGTTGTAGAATGCACCAATTTCAAACATAGTAATAACTTATTCCAGCATTCGACAGGTTAACCTCATCATTGATTCACAAGGTTGAATTTACGATCATGGTCTCCCGACCTCTAATCGCCTACCACCATTGACAGCCTAACTACATCATTGAGCGGGGATAGGCATGAGCCAATAGCGGAGCATTAAGCTATCATCTTGTACATTAACCAAACGAGGTATGTAGGTATACTCATATCCTATATACGAAACATTCTAAGTTTTACCCTAGAATGAACACGTTCCTCACATTCATTGGTTTATCCCTTTATTCGTCTTCCGAGTTCAAGAGCGAAAAATGAATTTATTTTAATGTTGATCAGTCATCAAAATAATTAAACAAGAATGCAAGCATAAATCATAAGAAAACCCATCTCATGCTAGAAATAAATAATATTATGCCATTAATCGTAGCTACAACCCTAGAATAAGGGAACTTAGCTACTCATAGTATGAATCATCATCAAATAATGTTCAAGGATCATAAAAGTGTTTACCATAATGAAAGAGTAGAAGAAAAGCCCAAGAGATAGTCAGCAAAATCACCCAAATCGTGTTCTCCCATTTTTTCCAAAAAATGAATGCTGATAAAATAATATTGCTGAAATATTTATAGTCTGAAATAAAACACGTGGTGGAAATCTGGAGTTAGCTTTCCACACTCTGGCTTCAACTCCGCCACGCGGAGGTACTCCCTCATAGTACAATTTTCAACTTCTTGGTCATTTCTCCTTAGAAACTTCGACTTCTATTTTCCAACCTCTTGGATGGTTTAGTTTTTTGTTCCTTTTCCTTGCTTTACGCCCTGCGAATATCTAATCATATTGGTTAGAGGAAACACAATCAATTGACTCTATAATTTCAATTTAAATTAGGAATTTGCTCTCGAACTTGGCTATATATATCGGCTAAATTGGTTATTTGGAGCATAAATACGCCTAAGATTAGTGCGGTAGTCAGATGGATTTGAGACACGTTTGAGTATGAATAAATTCCTTATGGAATAATTCTATTGCATGATTTAGAGTATGAAAGAAGATTTTTTTTCGTACATATCTGTTAGTCCCTCATTTATAAAAGTGGGTGCCCTCACAAACATAAATAAGATCATATTGACACGACTTCATAAACACCCTAGGACACTTGAACTCTATGCTCTGATATCAAGTTTATCACACCCCAAGCCTACACTATGAACGTGGCTGGCACTCAAGAACCATTGTTGATCCCCAAGTGAATCATCGGCATGACTAACTACTTAGCGTAAGACTAACTCTAACAGATTTAAGCTTTAAAATAGAATTTGAATTCAAAAGTGTCAAAACTTTTCAAACTCAAACTATATCAAAATAGTTTACTCAAAACTGTCTGAAAATACTCTGAAAAAATAATAGTTTGCCAAAATAGTTCAGAGGAAATACTGAGAGAAACTCAACATTAAATACCTATGAAGCCTCTATAGTTTAACATGGATGTTGGAACAAGACATGCGACACCTCAAAACTACTAAACTGAAAGACGGGAGTGGAGTTCTCTGGAATGCAAGGAAGGTTCACCAAAGCTAGCAAGAAGTGCAAAATGATCTCAACGGAGTGCATGTTGATGATCCTGAACACCTATATCTGCATCATGAAAAGATGTAGGACGAATGACAAAAATACATTGAATGTGCAAGTATGTAATATTGTTGAGGAAAATAAATAATTGAAAAGAAGAAGCTGAAACTAGATACACAACTGAATGTAAAGAAATAAAGGAGTGAAATCATTTAAACTTTACAAATACTTACTCATGTCTGAACTCAACATATTAAGTGGTATGATAAAAATACATTTCAACTTTATTTAGGAAATTCTCTAATCGAAACCATCACTATGAGCAATGTGATAATACATTGTCTCGCCCACACTGTCAGAAGTGTCCTATACCTTACTAGGATATAAAAAATCTCAACTAAGTGTATCCACTAAAGCTCTAAATGAAAGTAATAAGGAGTCGTCTAAGAAGTAAGATCTTTTACCCATGTTGGCTACATGATTTATGAGAAATGTGAGCTGTCTGAACTCATCCCCATATCGGTGCTCAATACTACTCTCAATAAATATATACTCATGCTCAAATGTATAAAATACAACCTTCCTCTATATGAGGTAATTACTCAAAATATCATCTTAAAAGAGGTAATTGCTTCGAAACTCTAAACTAATTAACTCATTTAGAAATCAAAGTTTCTCTTTTCTTAATATAAAAAGTGATACCTTTGGGAATACTTAGTTTTCTTATATTCTTACTCAATTAATATTTGAAAACTCTTTCTCAAAAATTATTTTTTTCTCTCCTCATAAATCAATTTAAAGACAATAATTGTTTTTTGAAAACGGGCATAACTTTTTACTCTGAACTTAAAATAAGGAAAACTTGGTGGCATTGGAAAGAAGACTCATAGAACTTTAATTTTATAGGTCATAGGGAACCTAATTCTTTATATGTTGAGAGATATGATCAGTTGATGTTGAACTAAGTATAATCATCTCAAAACTTAATCGGTAAGGAAGCTTTCAACTCAACTTTGTGCTAGGGGTTTCTTGTGACCTTAGTTAGGTGTAAAAACGTTGAGGTATAGGTTTAGAAAGAGTGAGAAAGAACTTAAAATAACCCTCTTAAAATTGATAAAAAGTAGTCTATGGAATACCATCTACAGTCCGTACAAAAGTATACGAACAGTAGACTCTCTCGTAGAAAACATGTTCAGTTCTGGATCTCTGAAGTTGTGGTCTATGGATCCTTTCTACGGCACATAGGAACTCCGTCCTGCTCAATCGTAGAAAGCTTATTGAGGATTGTTTTAGGACTTGGGTTTCACTAGGCCTTTCTACGAAACGTAGAAGGTTCTGTGATCCGTAGTCTGGTGCGTGAAACTTGGACCTGAGAACAATTTTTTAGAGCATGGTTCTATGATTTTACCTATGGTCTGTAGATACTTCTACGAGCTGTAGATTTCTTCCGTGACACTAGTCCAAATAAATTTCTTCAAGGTCTGATTTAAGGGGCGCTACACATATATACAAACAAGTAATTGCATAAAATCATTGAAAATATACAAATAAACCTAAAATTATATAATTTTTGAAAGTATATAAATAAGAACTAAATGTTTTACATATGAGTTAAAAATACAATTAATTTACAAATCAAATGTTTATTAATATCATTCATAAATAAAATCAAGTGAGATATTGATACGCTCTAATTACACCTTCAATAAAGAAGTATAACATTGTGCTGATCAAATATCGAACCTTACAAGGTTGGGGTTGAATCTCACAACAAATAAGGTGAGAACTAAGAAAAATATGATTATTTTCTATTACCTATTTAACTCCAAAGAAAAGGAAAATTTTGTAGGGATTTGAATGATTGTAGTATCGATTTATAACTTGTAACTTCTAACAATGTTAATTTTAACTGAGAGTTTCTAGAGAGAAATTGGGATTGTGTTCACTGAGACTGTATTACTTAATACAGATTTCCACCTTATAATTCTAGTTATCAGTTTATCAATCTCGTACTATATTTAATCATTTCTCAACAAAATTAAATGCATGCCACTTTTATTCTCTTGAACAAAAAGTGTTAATCTCAAATAAATGATATTTACTCGGAGTTAGTTAATCTTGCTACAATATCAACCATTAGACGAGTTCTAAATCTCGAATCCTCATTATTTAGCTCTTTTCCTAGGTTTTACACACTTTTACCCAAACAAGTCAAACCTAGGGAAGATGAAAGAACTAATAAGATATATAATCACCCTTTATTTAGATCAAGTCGTCAATGAATCCACAATCATTATTGCGGGGTTTAGTCACTCATGATAATTGAAGTAAGTAATGCAATTGCAATCATTGAATAAAAATTTACTTAGAAAAGTTAAATGAGTTATTTGACAAGTGATGTGAGGGCCAACATGTGGTATCTGTCACAACCCAAGGTACGCTTTAGGTGTAACATGGCGTATAGGAATTTGAGAAGCCCTACACAAGCCATTTAGCATGCATAAACAAGATTATAGAAAATCAAGAGATTTATAACACAATTCATATCATAAATATTTTGGGGAAAAAACTAAGCGGAAGTCTACATAGTCTCAAAAGTCATCTATTACATCAAGAGTGACCAGGATGTAACCCTGGCATCGCGTACAATATCTGAAAGGTAAAAACTGAAAGCGATAAAAGGTTCAATCCTCGCAAAATGAGGACTCACCACTACTAAGTAAAGCCGAAGTGACTTCTAACTATGGGGATGAGAAACTGGATCGTCAGACC